TTAACAGAGTAGCTTAACAACTAAGCATATTCTTCAAAAACTTTTAACAGTTTTTCTTTCACATATTTATTTTTGATATTTTTAATATAATCATGTTTAACCAGTTTAACTTTTCTATTCATTGTCTATTTTTTTTATTAGAGATGAAAATCTTGTTAATAGACTTTATATTTCCTATTGTTGACAAGTTTGAATTTCTATCCACACAATAGTAAAGCAAAATACAATAAAGAAATTTGCTTCAAAAAATTAGCTTAAAAGTTGTTTTTAAGTGAAGCTAGTTTTTAAGGTTTTATCATATTTTAAAGTGAAGCTACTTTTTAAGGCTTTATCATATTTTAAAGTGAAGCTAGTTTTTAAGGTTTTGTCATATTTTTTTAATTGTTATTAAACTAGTTTACAAACTTTAGCTAGTTAATGAATGTTTCAAAGGCTTGTTTATTTTTTTTTTAATTTTTTTTTAAGAGTTATGCAATGTTTTCAAAAGTTTAAAGTTTTCAAAAAGTTTAATATTTAAATTTTTATTGTTTAATTAAATCAATAAAAAAAAATAATAAGACTATTTATTTTAAATATTTTAAAATAAATTTTACTAAAAAGTATATTTGTGTAGAAAGGATTTAAAGTTTATTTGTGTATTTTGTTCTTTATTTAATATTCTTGAATAAGATGTCTGATGACATAGAGTCTCAACAAGATGAACTAAGTGTGCTTTCCTCTATATATGGTAAAGATTTTTATTTGCACAATAGTAATCAATTTGATATTTGTGTATCTTGTGAAAAAGATGAGTGGTGGGCAGTAACTATTTCTGGACTTCTTCCATTAACATATCCTTCAAAAGATCCTCCAGTATTTGAAATACATACCGAATGTCTTTCCACTGTTGAGTTAGTTGCCATTCATAAAGAGTTAGAACTTTTGTGGAATAAAAATTATGGGAATCCAGTTTTATATAGTTGGGTTGAAAAGATCAGAGAAATGCTTCAAGAAAAGTATGAGCTTGCAAAGATGTTTATTGAATCTACAAATGAAGATAAAGATCGTGAAAGTACGTTTTAAAATTAAATTTTTTTTTTTTAAATATTTTTATTATAATTTTTGCATAAATTTAATTTTTTTTTAGTTTTCTAAATATGTATACTGTTTTATAAGTCATTTTATTTATAACAGTTATATACTTTGTTATATATTATAATTATAATTGTTAGTGATATAATCATTGTACATTATGATATTAAATACATACAGTTGTAATAATATAGATAGTATAGTTAAATTATGTTATATAGTATAATTATGTTATACATTATAATTATGTTATATTTTATAATTACGTATTATATTTTATATTATGTATGAACAAGTATTATTATTTTATTGATTAAATATATAAGTTGCCTAATTATTAGACAACAAATTTTAATCATAAATTTAAATGTAAATTATAAATTTTAAAATCTGTAAAAAAAGTATTATAAAAAAGCTATATTTAAAATATATATATATTTAATATAATTTCTTTTTTAATGTTTTGTTAATTTTTATATATATATTATTTACAAAAATTATAAATTTTTTTTTTCTCATATTTTGTTTTTAACTTTACTTATCGGGTGGACACGGAAAAATCCGGTCAACTTTAAATTGAGATTTCTCTAAAACCATAAATGCTTTTTATTTCAATTTTTTTATTATTAAATGTGTTTATATAAATTAGAGTTTCAACTTAATTTTAAGGGGCTTGATGGGTTGCTTGGCAAGAAATCGAACTTTATAGCGAGTTGATGCCATCATTTTACAGATTTTTTCTTTTTTTACCATATTGGTGGCATTAATCCACTTTTTTTGGAAGTCCTTTTTATTATTTGTTAGTCCACCTGTCTTACGAAGAACTCCTTTAACTATTGCCTAAAAATCTTCAATCTTGCTCTCTTCAGGATGATTTGAAAGATTCGCATCTTTAGGAACAATTTTCACATTATTATCTTTGCACCACTGTAAAACTTTTTTTCTCGTCAAATATATTTAAATTCATCATCGACAGGTTTATCTTTGTTTTCATAGTAAAACTGTTGACCAGGAAGTTGTGAAAAATCCACCTTGCTATACGTTTCGTCGTCTTCAATTATGCACATATTTATATCCGCCATTATTTTAACCAGCTTCTTTGCGCTTTGAATTCTTTTAATTTCACAATTTAAGCTTTTCTTAGGTGTATTTTTTTTATGAAATGCTTTAATTTTAAGTATTTTTAAGTACTTTTTTGATATAAGAACGAGAAGTCTTACTTGCTAGATCTCGCTGTGACTGATTTGGATTTTTTGCTATTGAACGTAAAATCGACTTTACCTTTTTGGATTTATGGAAAGTTTTTTTTCTTTCACTTCCAAGTTTTCTTTCGAAGCTTTGAGTAGTCTCGAACTTGTTTGTAATATCTATGATTGTAGATTTTGGGACATTTGTGCGTTTAGCAATCAAGCGATAGGAATTTGATGGATTTTTGCAAAAAAAATTCACAACTTTAATTACGCACCGTAACTTGTTTCCAAAACATTTTGCAAATCATTAATTTGTAAACAAAAATTTATCAACACAATTTAAGATAAGGAAGTAAGGTTTAATTAAAAAAAAAAAATTAAATAAAAAGCATTTGTGGTTTTGGAGAAATCTCAATTTAAAGATGACCGGATTTTTCCGTGTCCACCCGATATACTTTTTTTACAGATTGTAAAATTTATAAATTTAACTAAAAGATTTTAGAAAAAAAAATTAAAATAAAATACAGTTTAATATTTTTCAATTTTACTGAATTTTATTGCCATCATCATTTAAAACTTTATATGTCCATACAGGGCTTAATTTACAGTCGGATATCGAACATTGACTGGCTAAAACCTCAGATTATCCGATCAATTTACAAAGTCATCGGACATATTTGTTGATTTGAAATTGACAGAATTAAACTTAATGTAAACTATTAGACAAACTTATAAAATATGTTGATAATGGAGGCATTCATTCTCAAAAAAAGTGCTGTTATTAATTGTAGTTTTAATGACTGTTCTTTAACAGTTTTATTATATTATTAAATTTAAAATTATTGCTTATTTAAAACGATCGCAAAATGGATATTATAAAATGCGAATAAGCAGATTAACTTTGAAAAAGGGCCTTATCTAAGAAATGTTGCATTATTGAATTCTACTGATATTTCAATTATGTAAAAATTTTTTCAAGAAGTCAAAAGATGAGATTACAATAATGAAAAAAAGCTTAAAAAAAAGTTTAATTATATCAAAATGGGGAAAGTTGGTCTAGCTAATTATTTAGTGAATTAACTCATTGAAAAAATATTTTGTTTTGCAAAGTAAATCAAAGTATGTTTGATTGATTACTGCAAATGCCGTGGACACCGAAAAGCAAAGAAAAGTTGGCAGTTTTAAAAATTTGATAATAAAAGATTTTACAAATGTGTTTTTTTACAGGCTGAGATCTCATCAATGGAATATTTAAAAAAAAAACATTAGAAGATATACATTTAAACATTAACGTTATGATCATCTAAATCATTCTATTTTTGCTTGAGCGGTTTCTCTGTGGTATCCTGGTCATACTCAAGTTTTCCGATTCTTTATTCATTATTCTTTTATATATATATATATATATATATATATATATATATATATATATATATATATATATATATATATATATATATATATATATATATATATATATATATATATATATATATATATATATATATATATATATATATATATATATATATATATATATATATATATATATATATATATATATATATATATATATATATATATATATATATAAGATTAAAAAGTTCTAGCTTTATAAAAATTGTCTGCCAAAGAAGGAGTGCCTTTTTGAAAAATAGATAGATAATAACCTGTAGAACTCATAAAATTTTCTTCTTTGAGTTGATCGAATTTTAATGACATGCAGCGCGTGGATTTTTTAAATTAAATAATAGCCCGTAAATATCATATTGCATTTGATTTAGCCGCCTTTAAATAATAAAAGCGAAGTTTAATTTTTTTATATAAAGTTTAAAAATAATGTTTATCTTAATATTTAATATATTTAAGACATTATTATACTATATTACTATAACAAACTTGTTTTCTTGCCATTTTTATTATTGATAAAAATAGTTACATGAACGCCATATAAATACCTTTTTGCCGCTAAAAGTCGAGCTTATGCCCAAAATTGACACTTAGCATATTATATTTTGTAAAGTAAAAAAAATTTACATAAATTTTATAAATGGGTAATGCAATTCAATGTAAACTAACAAGGTTTTCGAGAGAAAAAACTCAATATAACTTCTAGTCTATCTAAAAAAAATGCGCAGTATTGAATTTAAACTATTTCAATTCAATTAAAAAAATCTACGATGATAAAAATTCTGAATATAAAGAAAAAAAACTACAACTTCTCTAGCCTAAAATAAAATAAACTGGGAAAACATAACATATATTTCGATTGGATAATTGGATTCTGTAAAACTCAGATACGCCAGTAGCTTGTCTTAGAAAACCCATCTGCAGTACTTTTTTACTCTTGGTATTTAAAGAACTTTTTCCTGTGTTCCTTTTAACTAAACAAATATGAAAATATGTAAATATTTGTGAAAATTATTTGTTCAAATTTTATTTCAAAAATTTGATTGGACAATGTCCGACTAAAATAACTTTTGGTTGGACATTTTGTCTGGGACCTTATAAAAAATTAAATTAAGCCCTGTCCATAATATCAGTTATATACCAAAGTTAATGAATGATTACCTTATTACCAATAATATGTGAATAATAACTATAAAAGTATTAAGTCACTATTTGGCTTTCCTTTTGTAAATCAATCCAGAATATTTTTACACAGAGACTAACAGTAATCTGCAATTATTTCTTTGTTTCAATCACTATGATGAAATTCCATATTTTTTTTCATGTTCACCATCGACAGCTCCATAACTAGGAAGTAAAAAATTTTTGTGTGAGTCGAAAATATAGATTTTAAGGAACCTATTGCGTCCATGTTGTTGGTATTTTTCCAGAGGCTTTGTTATTAACTGGGTGTAATACTTACTTATGTTGTCTAAAAATCTTACACATCAAGAGCACTAAAAAAACACAAATTCTAATAAAAGAATTACACTGTATTGTAAAGCAATATTAAATATATAATAAATTTATATTAAAGGTCTTATATTGATATATCGGAAAAATTTTTAGGAATTTTATGCAGATCATTTAAACAAGAACATTTTTCCCGGTACAACTATAATGGTTTGTATATCAGGATCCACCAAAAGTCTAAGAATCAACTAATCAAATCAACATTGAAATTCAAATTTTTCAAAAACACACCATTAGAGATTTAGTTTTGATTTTTTACTTTTTCATATTTGTTTTGATCTTTTACAAGTTATTCATCTGTAGTTTTTATAGTGATTTTGGAATTCAGCGAGAAATAAATATGTTTAAAACTGCAACATTTTCAATTTTGTACAATATTTAAATTACTAAGTAGTAAAAAAAATAAAATAAAAGTTAAAGAAAGTTCATATTTTCTGATTGGTAGGTAAAAGGTTCTTGTTTTCATCGAATGGAATTTGTTTATTATTATGCCTATTCCATACTGAAATTTTCATTAATGAAGTTTGTGTTTTCTGATTGATAAATAAATGTTATTGCTTGTAGGATTGTTAAATAAATTTTTTTGTATTTTTTTTTAAAAAAGGTATTAATATTTTTAGACTATGTTAACTATTATTGGTTTTAATTATTATTATAAATAATTTTTTAAATATATAATATTAATTTAGTTAATAAGATAAAAAATATATTTGTTATAATACTTAGTATATGTTTTTTTATAAATTAGTTTTGAAGCGTGTTTATTTTAGAGAAAATTACAAGTTTGCTTCGAAATGATGAATCAACTAAAGATGATGATTGTTATACTGATGGTGACTTGATTAATTTTTTTTCTGGAGAACCAATGACTGTTAAAAAAAGCACATTTCAAGGTCATGTTGCATTTGTTAAAAGTCTTAATGAAGTTGAAACTTTTCTTTCCCAATTAAAAAGGAATCGTAAAGTTTCTCAAGCAACACATAATATTGTTGCGTATCGTGTCTGTGGAATTAATGAAGGTTCTTATATTCAAGACTATGCAGATGATGGAGAGATTCATGCAGGCGCAAGGTTACTTCATTTACTACAGATTATGGATGTTAAAAACATTGTTGTTGTTGTTTCACGTTATTTTGGGGGTGTTTTACTTGGTCCAGATCGATTTAGACAAATAAACAATTGTGCACGAGATGTTATTACTCAATCTGGATTTTTTAAACTTGATACTAAAAAAAATTTAAGGAAAAAATAAGATTTTAATTGAATTAAATTTATTTTCATTTTATGAAAAAATTTTGATTTAATGAATCATTGTTTTGATTTTATATCTATATATATATTTTTGATATTTTTATAATATATAATTTATGTTTGTATATGATTTTATTATTATAAATAAATAGTATTTTTCTTAGCCTTGCATTATTGTTGATATCATATTGATATAGCCAACTGTAGGGACTCAAATACATACAATATATTTACACACACTTCTGCAGATTTAGGTTGGTACTGTTTTAATATATTTTGCACATTTTGAGTTATAAAATTGTTTCTTGAATTCAGATAATTTTTGCTTGGGGCTCTCTTCAGTATTGTTTCAGTATTATTTCATCAATGGCTTTTCAAGGCTAAGTATGAAAAGATATTACCAGATTTGAAAAAGTAAAGACTAAAGACCAGAAAACGTTTAAAAACTTTCTGAACCAAAACTCTTACTTAATGTATGTACACTAAATATGTCTAAGGCTGAATAAGTAAGTTAATATATGGGTTCTGAGCAGCAAACACGGCAAAATAAATCTATTGCAAGTAAACTATATTGCATCTTTTACTAAATGAATCAGTTGTAATATGTTCACTCACAGTGCATTATTAAAAAAATTAGCTATAAAAGAACATATGAATTAAAATACTAACAACTTCATGAAACAGTTTATAATTCTTTATAACAAAAAGAAAAACTTTCTTGACTGTAAAGCTAAATTTTTTCTTTTTTTTTTAAATTATCAACTTTAGTTATCTATATTTTTTAGGTTTTTCCTTTTTTTTTGCTTAATTGTAAACTTCATTTTCAAACATTATTTTTAGTGCTGTTTTTTACAATTCTACAATGGGTCAAAGAGTGGCAACACTATACAAAATTTATAAAATTGCCAAAAGTGACAATATCATCCAAATATTTTAATTTTTTTTAAAGTTGTTCAACATATCAAAAGATATTTGTTATTTAAATAATGCTTTATAATATTTAAATATATAAACATTGAAATATTTTTCATTAACAATTTCGTTTTTTTTACTTTTTTTTGAAATTTTGAATTCTCAGTATTTTCAAATTTATTTAAATAGCCTAGATACTGTAACGCTAACAGTAAAATGAAAAAATTAAATTTGTTTAATATGAAATTTAAATTAATTGTAAATTTTTTTTTTTTAAAACTGTGTCAATAGAAAAAATGCTACCCGATGCTGAGAAAACCTCTACAGTTGAGGAGGCTACTTGTTTTGATTTATCTAGTAATAGTTCCTCAATTATTTTAAAGGTCATTTGCCAATTTAAAAAAATTAGTGCAAGTTATCAAGTAAAGGTAATGCAATATTTAAAAAATAAACTTGAGACAGATTTTTGAAGGTTTATTTTAACATTAATTTATTTAATGTTATTATAATTATAATTTATTTATTTATTATAAATTAATTTTGTGTTAATTTTATTACAATTCATTTTTTTTAATTTCTAAATAGTTAAATTAATTTGCTTGCAAAAATAACAATTACTCAAAATATGACATGTTACATATGAGATCATTTGACATCATTTGATTTAGTAATACTACTATAAGCTACATGTTGTGTTTGTTTTTTATGCTGTTATAGCAACATAAGATCATCTGAAGAAAATCAGTCTCCAATGTAGAAAATAGTTTGTAATAAGTTCTGGATTTTTTTAACATTTTTTAAAATTATCTCAAAATCTTTTTTTGTGACTTGGAAATTTAAAAAGGAGCAAAAAAAAGTATAAATATAAATTTACTAAGTTCTTCATAATACTGTTTCCATAATCAAAATATTTTTTTAAACAAAAGCACTGTATAATTATTAAATTAAGTTACTTAAAAAATTAAGTTTTATTGAAACTTATAAGTTGATTGTTAAAGTTGATTTTTCAAGATATAGGATATAATTTTTTATAAGATAAAGGTTTAAGAAATTTGAATTATATAATTATTGAAGAAATAAAGGTAGTTATTGAATATATATAGGTAACTATTGATTTATTTTTTTACTTTTTACTTTTTCACAGACAAAAAAATAAAATGTTAATGATTGATACTTTATATGAATTAAATTAATAATTTATATGCTGATGATAAAAATTGTACCAACATATTATTTTATTATTTATAGGATGATTGGAATGTTACATTCAAAATCATTATGAAAATACTAAAGAGATGTCTGTAAAAAAATTCTTTTATATGTTTTTACACAAATATCTACTTGAAGTTTTTATCTTACATTAGGTTACAGGTTAATATTTTTATTCATAGATAACTATGAACAACATGATAATGTTGTAAATAATATTATAAATGTTGTAAATATATACAAATATATCATGTTAAATAATATAGACACTCACAGATATACATATATATATATATATATATATATATATATATATATATATATATATATATATATATATATATATATATATATATATATATATATATATATATATATATATATATATATATATATATATGTATATATATATATATATATGTATATATATATGTATATATATATGTATATATATATGTATATATATGTATATATATATATATATATATATATATATATATATATATATATATATATATATATATATATATATATATATATATATAATCTTAATAATAATCTTCTTTTTTCTAAGCATGTTTTAAATCATTCAAAAAGTGGTTGCAGCATGTTTTTGTATATTATTCTGTATATTTTTTTGTTGCATATATTGATATGTTTTATATTTATTTATTATTTTTTTCAATAAATATTTAATTGATATCATTTTTCTATTCTCAATTAGTCTGAAAATCACCTTAATTTATAATGCATCATTTACTGAGAATCATTTAGCAAATCATTAACCAAAAATTTCTGACACTGGGGATAAGATATTTGTCTATCAGAAGTGCTTTATTGTAATAATTATATATACTTTTTGTTACATATTTTTCCATCGTTTTTCATAAATTGATTGATGATTAATGATAAAAACCATTTTTACCTATGTAGGTATAAATAATAATAAAAGTAGTATTTTAAAATTGTAACTATAATAATTAATTAAAAGTATATAAAATATTTAAAAAAGTATAAAAAATAATAAAATAATAATATTAAATAATAAAAAATTAACTAATAATAAAACACAGGAAAAAAAATTTATAAATAAAATTCTTTTTTAAAAATTTTTTCTTTTTTATTAAAATATTTTATATTAAGATTTTAAATTAGGCTTTATACCCTTTTTATGTTATGAAAGAATTAATTTAACCTCATTTTTATTTCTAAATTTACTTTGATAAGCCACACAATTATGTGTGATCCAAATGTTGCTACTAAACCAGAAGATCGAAAATGGTTATACTTTGTTGGTATATCATTGGCTCTGTATTTTGGTGGTATATTATTAATCTTATTTGTACGTGTGATAATACATCTATCTCAATCAGATCGCAAAAAAAACTTGAATGTTGAAGAAGATTTTGTAGAATTGCAAGATGGAATATATTTAAAACTGGTTGAACTTGCTGGAATTCTTGATTCTGCTCAAAATTTTCAAGGAAAAATTTTGGTTAATAGTTTTTAAGTTTTTATAAACTGTTTGAAAGTTTTATTTAATTTTTTTTTTATCTTTTATATCATTTTTTAACACAGCTATTAATTTGTTTCAGCATGTTGCTTCTTTCATCTTAAACCTCACTTGTGTAGCAATGTATGTTGCAACAACATCTGAGTAAGTTTCTGTTTATTTTTAAATCAGTTAATTCCTAACATATTCAGAAGGTACTAATATATTTATATAAAAAAATATGGTTATGATATAGATTTTTCGTTTTAGTCCTATTGAACATTGCTTTTCGATTGATCACACGTTGTGGAAAGTTGAAGTTGTTATATACATTTTTTTTGTTATTCATCTATGCATTAGGGTATGACTATTTTTTATTTTAAGATTTAATCTATGCACTTTTCTTAATTAATAAATAATAGAAACTTTTTCATAGCATCATTGTCATAAGATTAGACCATGTGTTGATACATTAAGGTCAATAATAACTTTTTGTAAATATTGTGTAAGAATTAAAAAAAAAAAGAAATAATAATGAAAATGTAATTTAAAGCCTGAACATTCATTCAAAAAGTAACTTGATGAATCTTATGTAAAAAATATCTAAAAAAAGTCAAGTTATTTTATTTGCTTTAGGGATAGCATTGATAATGAAATATTTTTATTATCAATGCTATCCCTAAAGAAAATAAAATCATCTTATTGCATTATTTAGGTGAAGCACTTAATATTAAAAAAAATAAAGGAATATTTAAGTGAAGCACTACCTGGTGATATTTTTTCTAAATGTTATAATTAGTTCAACTCTTTAGTTGTAAAGTTCTCCATCTTTTTTCTGATGACTTTAATGTAAACTTAGTGTTTCTAAATCTAAGAAAGTGAAAGCAGAAAATCTTTTTAGTAAATCTACGGATGATTAATATTCATATACTTCATTTTTTACAAAAAGAAGAAAAGATTACTACTGGCTAGAACACTAATATATATATATATATATATATATATATATATATATATATATATATATATATATATATATATATATATATATATATATATATATATATACATATATATATATATATATATATATATATATATATATATATATATATATATATATATATATATATATATATATATATATACACATATATATATATATATACACACACACATATATATATATATATATATATATATATATATATATATATATATATATATATATATATATATATATATATATATATATATATGTATATATATATATATATATATATATACTTGTATACATTATTTGACAAATCTCCTTTCTGCAGAGCTGTTGTCTGAACATCTAACAGCTGCTACTTTTTCTTATTACCCACATAAATTCTGTGAACAACAAGATAATGAAAGTAGTAGTTAAATGTGCCCAAATAGTAGTTAAATGTGCCAAAATGTTTCAGCCCAAGATTGTTGATGCTGTAAAGTTTTATTGTTTTAAGCTAAAATTGATGAAAGCATGGCGTAAACTAGTTTTGATTTATTTTACTGTGCACTACCATTCTACTGAAACAATTTTTTGAGGAAAAATGCAACATCATTAAATACATTTCTATTTACTTTTTAAACTGACAGTTATATAATGCCATTTTTCACCAAGCCATTTGACAAATTAACCCATAAATTATGTGGTCATTTTTGAGCAAGGATGTTTTAGAAGAGATAAATTCTATTTATAAGTTGTTCAAAGTTAACTTTACAGATAAAGTTAATTGAGTATTTTTATTAATCTTAGTTTTGCTATTAAACATAATTTTCATTGTTTAAAAAAAAAAAGAAAAGTAGTATTCAGGGGTGTGGAGTAATAAAAAAAAGTAACGACTTCGACTCCAACTCCAGTTGTTGAAATTTTTTGAGTACAACTCGGACTCCGACTCCAATTGTTGAAATTTTTTGAGCACAACTCCGACTCCAATTCCGACTCCAACTCCAAAGCAAAATTTTTGAAAAGTTCTTTGAATTCTTCAAAAAATATTACACAAGTTAAGTATTATTTTTTGACAAATTTATGAAAGTTCGTAGAGGTTTAGTATGAACATAAGGTTAATTAAATGTTTTGTACATGCATGTGTAATACCGAGAAGTTTTACTATTGTAGTCGGAGTCTCGATTTTGTTTAGCGACTCCGACTCTGATTCTGCTAAAAATGTTGCAACTCCACAACTCCGACCCCACAGCCCTGGTAGTATTTTAAATAATATTTATGTTAAGTGCTGTCTTGTTTTTGCATTAGTTTTACAGAAAAAAATATTTTGAGGAACAATTTTGTTTTCAGGACTTTTTGTTTGATTACTAAAGTTGAAATAAGTTGATTTGAGATTTTAGTTAGGTATGATGATTTTTTGATAGATAATTTTGATAGATGTTGGTTTGAAAAAACTGATTTCTGACTTTTTCATCCAAAAAACATTGTGGCCACTCAAAAAAGTTAGTGTGACTACTTAAAAAAAGTTTGTGTGGCCACTCCAAGAAAGTTTGTGGGGCCACTCCAAAAAAGAATTAATTAAATTGTGTGGCCACTCCAAAAATTTTTTATGGGGTCACCTAAAAATGTTTTTGTGGCAACCCATAAAAGTCAATGGTTTGCACTGTATAATCAAAAATAAGATTTTAATTTTTTAATTGGTTTTATTGATATTCATTGTTATATTTACTGTATTTTAATTCATTGTATATTCATTCATAATACCCCCAGTATTCATTATTGATCATTGTTATTTATCATTATTAGGTATTTAAACTTAAATATTTAAAAATTTATTTATTAGGTTTTTGCATCACATGACAAGTTATCATTATGGTCTACAGATATAGCAATTATAGTTGATTTATTAACCATGCCTACAATATTTTTACCTGTTCTATTCAATCAATATTGGTTAGGTATATTAAGTTTGTGTTACTAGGTATTATTTTTTAATGTTACTATTTTAATCTTTTATTGATAGGAATAAAAATCTTTGAATCAGTTAAAAGTTAAAATTTTAAATAAGTATTATTTGATAAATGATAAGATAATAAAAGTTACATGTGTGCAGGATGGTTTACATATCCTAGCCAAAAAATACAAGTTATTTCTAATCAAATGCTCTTAGGTTTTTGTGTTCCTTTATATCATGGTAACAAAAGTGTCACATATTATTGGGATATGTTTAGTACTAACTTGATGTACTTGAATTTTTTTATGAAATACACGTTTACGGGTTTATGTATTGCTAATTGCTATTTGTTAAAACAATTGTTTTCAAATATACTTATTTTTTGCACATTTATGTGTATATATATAAATATATATATATATATATATATATATATATATATATATATATATATATATATATATATATATATATATATATATATATATATATATATACTAGGTTGGTTGAAAAGTTCGCGGAGCGGAAATGAAAAAACAATTTTATGATTCAAAAAATGACTTTATTCTTCAGTATATTCTCCCTTAAGAGCAATACACTTTTTCCAACAATTCATGTATCCCATCTCTGAAGTTCGATTCCGGAAGGCCTTCAAAATACCTATTTACGGCTGCAATGACTTCTTCATGTGATGAGAAACGCTTTCCACGTAGAAATTTTTTGAGATGTGGAAAGAGGTGGAAGTCGGACGGAGCCAGATCTGGTGAATAGGGTGGATGTTCCAAGCGTTCGTACTTTAATTCGACCAATTTCGCCTTTGCAACATCGCTGATATGAGCAGGTGCGTTGTCCTGGTGATAAATGATTTTTTTATGCAGCAAACCAGGTCTTTTCTCACGAATTTTTTTATCCAACTGGTCCAAAAGATTTTTATAATATTCACCTGTTATCGTTTTACCGGTTTGAAGGTAATCTATTAATAAAATTCTTTTCGCATCCCAAAAAACTGATGCCATAACCTTCTTTGACGATTTTGACGCCTTCACTTGCTTCGGAGCTGAACAACCGGGTTCTGTCCACTCTGCAGTTTGTTGTCGCAGCTTCGGATCATAGTGGTAAACCCAAGTCTCATCCATGGTTACGAATCGACGCACAAAATCTGTTTTATTCTTTTGAAAACGGGCCAAATGTTCTTGAGAAAGTTTTACTCGAGTGCGTTTCTGATCCAGAGTTAGCGAATGCGGCACCCATCTTGCCAACAGCTTTCTCAGACGTAATTCATCGTGCAAGATGTGTAATACCCGTTCATCTGAGATGCCCACAGCCTCAGCAATTTCACGTTTGGTCAATCGTCTATCATCCATAACCATGTCATGCACAGCATTAATCGTTTTTTCAGTAGTAGCACTTTTTGGACGTCCAGAGCGAGGGTCATCTTCAAGGCTTGAACGCCCACGTTGAAACTCCGCAGCCCATTTGCATACTGTTGTTTTTGAAGGAGCATCATCACCCAACACATTTACCATTTCATTATGAATTTCCATGGGCTTTAAACCTTTTTTCACAAAGAATTTTATTACAGCACGATGTTCAATATTTTCCATTTTAAAAAATACTATGACACGTCTAATTTCAATAGCTTGTAAACAAAGACTGAAATGACATATCGACTTGAAATTTTTTATGCGTTCATACGAAGAATGAATACGTTTAATACAGTTATAAATTTGTTTCTACTACTGCAACATAGGTGCCGCTCCGCGAACTTTTCAACCAACCTAGTATATATATATATATATATTATATATTATTGACTTCTTTGATGACAAATTTGTGTCTTGCATCAACCCCAATACATTATTTTGCCTTTTTATGGCATTCCGGTGGCACGCCATTGACAAATGCTTCACAATAGCATGTCTGAGTCATATTTCCCTGCTTTATTTACAAAAAAAGCATAAATGTTCACATTTTGTAAAATTAAAAAAAATGTATTTGGTACACAAAGATAAAAGTTACAAAAAGAATTTTATAAGTTTTTTCTATATTTTAAACTTAATCTTTAACACTAGTAAATAAAAAAAAAAATCCAAAATTTGACATCAATAAGAAACATTGGTAAGGAAGTAGGTGTGAACCTCCTAATTAAATGCTCTTCCATGATGCTCTGTGGACTTCTGGGAGCACCTATATAACCACAAAAAAAAAAAAAAAAAAAAAAAATTATAAAAATAAACTCAAAAGATATCAAAATTATAAACCACAAAAAAAAAAATTATAAAAATAAACTCAAAAGATATCAAAATTCAAATATAATTTTACCCACATATACTCTATGGAAAGGAAAATAAGTGAAACGTTTTTTAAAAGAATTTCTAAAATGTCTCAAATCTCAAATCAAATTTTTAATGAATGAACTCTTTTGCAATTTAGTTTATGTTATATAAGACAATTCTTTTTTAATAAATATAACAGAACTAGTCTTTGTCAAAATTTTTTAGTTTCATTAAAATTATTTATTTTATACAGAAGCAATTTATTAGTTGATTGGTTGCGAACTATTGAAAGAGTTTCCTAACCCCATCAAATATATCATTTATGTTGTAAATTATCTACTGCAGAACATATTTTCTAAAAATAATCTTGAATATTAGAATTAAAATTTTAATTTTAATTTTAAATTTTTTACAACTTTAATATAATTTCTTAAATATATATATATATATATATATATATATATATATATATATATATATATATATATATATATATATATATATATATATATATATATATATATATATATATATATATATATATATATATATATATATATGTATATATATATATATATATATATATATATATATACATTCTTTTTTTTTTTTTTCTTTTTCTAAAAAACTCGTATACTATAAAGTTAAGCAAAATGAGTTGCTGATCTATATACACTATAGTAGATATATATATATATATATATATATATAGATATATATATATATATATATATATATATATATATATATATATATATATATATATATATATAGAATATATATATATATATATATATATATATATATATATATATATATATATATATATATATATATATATATATATATATATAATACCACTATAGTAGATATGAATATATACATATATATTCATCACTGTATATAATTGTAACAATTGTTATTATTACTATCATCATATTATATAAGTTTTTTTTCCCCAGGTGTTATTGTGTTGTCTAGTTGCAAAATCTGTAATGATATTTCTTTTTTGAGGCTGATTTGTGTAGTTTCATTTTAAATGCCAAAGCATCAGCAATTTAATAAATGTCATCTTCATCTTCATTTAAATTAATTTAATCTAAAAGTCTTCCTTTGTTTAAAAAAAAAAATTGTATGACTTGACTCATGTCAAGTTTAAAATTTAAATAACTTAGTACAGGGTGCTCAAATTTGAATTGATTTTTTTAAATTTGTGTCATTTGCATTTTGTGTTTGTGCTAAAATGATTTCTGTTTATTGACAACTGTCAAGTATAAACATCGCAGTTTGTAAATATGGCAAAATATACAATGAATCAATGCATCTTCATTGTTAAAAAATTATTTTAAATTTAATAAAAATTATGCAGAAGTTGGAAGAAAATTTCGTACAAAATATGGAAGTAGAAATTGTCCAACAAACTCCACCATTTAAAATATTGTGAATAAATTTGAGGAAAATTGCTCAATTCAAGATCAAAAAAATAAATTTACAGTCGCAGTGGTTGTTCCCTAGAAAATTTTACTGTTGTCAGTGAAAGTATTAGCGAAGAGCCAAATACAACGATTCGTCATCATGCACAGCAATTAGGCATAAAATAAACCACTTTATTCAATATTTTGCATAAGGATCTTCACCTAAAAGCTAACAGTTAACACAAAAATTATTGCCAACTGATCATGGATTACGATGTGCATTTGTTATTTGGGCTCTTGCAGTAAAAGAAGAAATATATGATTTTTTTCAACAAATTGATCTTTAGTGATGAAGCTTATTTTGAAATAGGTGGGTATGTAAACAAATAAAATTTTTGAATCTGGTGTGAAGAAAATCTATGAGTAATATTGGAAAAACAACAACATCCATAAAAAAGTGACTGTTTGGTGTGATTTTTGGTCTGGTGGATTGATTGGTCCATGTTTCTTAGAAAATAAAATCAGACATACTGTTGCTGTGAATGGTGCTTTGTTTAAAACAATGGTTAGTAACTTTTTGTTTGACGAACTGGAGCATATTAATGTGCAGTATGTGAGGTTTTAACAGGAAGGTACAACATGTCATACAGCAACAGAAACAATCTTTTAAAAAAGAAATTAGGTGATTGAATAGTTTCTTGAAGAAGATTTGTTAACTGGCTACCACAGTCATGTGATTTAACACCATTAGATTTCTTTTTATGGGGTTTTTTTGAAAAACAAAATTTACAATAATAATCCACAAACCATTCAACATCTGAAAGAAAACATAATTGAGCAAATTACTCAAATTGAACCACAATTATGTCATCACGTGTTGGGAAATTTTACTAAAAGATTGGATGCTTGTAAAGCTGCAAGAGGTGGTCACTTATGTGACAACATTACAACATGTGTTTTATTAAAAAATTAAAAAGTTCGTTCAAATTTGAAATCCCTTCAGAACCACAATTTCTTCCAACTACTTCTCTAACTAAAGTATATAGTATACTCGAATAATAACATAAATAGTATACTCAAATAATAACATAAATAATTATTTGAATAACATGATTATTATTTTAATTATTCTTAAGAATATGTTAAGAATAAGTTGGCAGCAAATATGTTGAAATACAAAAAAAAAAAAAAAAAAAAAAAATTAAACAAAACATTTCAAAAATCAGCCAGGATAAAAATAAAATTAAACTCTAAACATTGATTTTGGAGTAAGCTGGAACCAGCATGGTATAAAAAAAAAATTTGAGTCAAGTTGATATTTATGATTACAATGCATCACTCTGTTACATTTGAGCCTGATGGAAGTCATTAGTTCAACCAGTGATTGATGGGAGCAGCATATCATTGTCATCACAAACAAAATTTCCATACTGATTAGATTGAGAGTGATGTAAGTTATTTGTCAACTTATTTTTATGTTAAGTTGTGTTGCTAAATGAGTGATAAGTGTTTTAAATTTAACCTAATCTTTTTTATAGAACTGTAAATCAGAACACATTTTTTTTTAAAGGTGTTTGTAAATTGAAAAACGTGTTTTGTTAGTTAAATGAACTTTAATTCTTATTTTACAAAATTTTCTTTTCTTGTTGGTTTTTCTACCAACTGACCTGTCCGCGCAATACAAGTAGTAGTTTAGAAACTAAAATGTATAAAAGAAATTGGTTGCAGATAATTTCAATTATCATTAATAGTTACTAATTAAATAATTTTAATTATTTTTATTTAAGTAATTAAATAAATTTTAAATAGTTTAGCTAGAAAAATTTTAATTCAATAAAAAAATTTTGGTTTTAGTAGTTACGAAAAAAACCCCGCAGAAATCGAATTTAAAAAAAGATTTTAAAGTATTATAAAAATATAAGTCTAATTTACATTAAAACTATTAAATAAACGTTTATTTCTATTTAATATTTATAATTAATTAATTTTCTATTTTCAATATATATATTTATATTAAAAAACAAGGACTGCATCATTAAAACAAAGAATGAACATAATAGTAAAAGAAATTCGATTACAGAGCTTTTTATTACTTCTGAATCAGACACTCAGTCAGATGAAAATCAAACTTTCATTTGTCCCCAAGTTTGAAAAGGCTCAGGAAACCTGAATCACCCAAAAATAATATTGCTAAGAAACTGAGGAATTCTGGAGAGATATGAATGGTTATGTAACTAAAAAAAACATTTTCAGATACCTGCTGTCTTTGTAAAATGGCATTCCATCAGAAAATAACAACCATAGCGCAACAATTTATGTTCAAGAGTTTCTGGAAAATAGGGGATTTCAAACAACAAAACACATATGTGTATGGATTAAATCAAAGGACAAAAATAAAACAAAGGCGCCCCTGTAAAGGTGGTGGCATTTTAAAGGGTTGGGCAAATAAGTACATTTTAAAGACTCATGGAGGAATCTCAGAAGCAGTATGCAAAAAATATTTTTTAGGTATCTTTGCTGTTTCAGATAATTGCGTTACATGAGCATTGAAAAAAGTATGCCAAGGAAAATTACCTGGCAAAGACTTATGAGGTAGAAAAGGTTGTATTTTTCCTGTATTTTTCAAGAAAAATACAGGAAATAAATGTTTGCAGATAGAATGTCTGCAAACATTTATAGTCATTTTCATCCTACCAGAATCACTATACAAGAAAACACAATGAACCCCAAAAGTATCTTTGTGATGCCCCAAATCTAAGAAGAATGTTTTCCTTGTATGTGGAAAATTGTAAAGAAGAGCAGAGAGCACCGGTTAAGGAGCATTTCTATAGATATGTTTTTAAAACAAAGTTTAATCTTCATTTCTACATACCTAAAAAAGGACACTTGCAAGAAATGTAACATTTAAAATAAAGATAAATAATCCTGAGTTAAGTATGGATAAATTATCTCAGAAAACATTGCCAACAAACTCTAAGAACTTTAAGAAAAGCTTGTACAGGAGTGTATGAGCTGATATAACATGAGTTGTATGTATTAGTGTATGACTGATGTATGAGTGTATGACTGATGTAACAAAAGTGGAAGAAAACCCAGAAATTTATGTATGCAGTGTTGACCTGCAAAAAGCATTTATTATTATTATTATTTATTTCCATTTTTAATCTTATCTGTTTCAGATGCTTATTATAAACGCAATATGTACTGTTCTGTTCAATAGGTGTTCATAAACTTGAGACGGAAACTGGAGTGTTTTATTTATGGAATGAAAATATTGCCTCCATAGAGGCTCAAGAAATTTTCTCCTGTGTCCCAAAGCATTTAAAGCTAAATGCGCAAAACAAAAAACAAAAGGTAAAGGTAAAGTTGTTTACCTTTACTGATGACTGGAAAGCCATCATGACTACCTATCAAAGCAAAAATAAATTTATTGTTTGTGAGATGAATAATAATGATTTTTTCGGTACCAATACTTTAAAAAAAACACAGAATCAGAAAAAAAATGTGAGCAAATATCCAGTAATTTGGCTGCAAATGTAGTTGATGCGGTATGAGAAATTTAAGCTCCATAACATTCAGTATAAACATTGTATATAAGAAATGGTTCAGTTTGGCACCATAGACATCAAACCAACCAGAAGAAAGGGGATATTGGTGAAGTTAAAAAATATCCCTATGAAAAAAACAATATGATTCATCTCCTTCAATTTATTCATCCAGTAAATCATAGATTTTTTTTTCAAACACTGTTTTAGAAGAGGATATTGGCCCACTACCATAACTTGCGCCACAAAGTAATGAAGAATATGAAAATATGAACTAAAACTGACCTCAGCACCATACAAGACCATATTTTTTGTGTAACGACTTTATTTGATATAATTTAAAAATTTTGTTGTAAATTTTTTAAAGTGTAAACATCTTCTTAAACTAAATAAATAAAATTTTTTATCTTAAAAACTGAAAATTCGTTTTATTTCCTTCATTTACTCTTTAAATTGATAGTGGTGTAAGTCAATCTTTACTACTGTAAGTCATTTTATTTCATTTTATCTTATTTTCTGTTTTGATTGATTGTATTGTAAGTCATTTATGCCCTCCAGAGCTACGTTTCTGGTAACAATAGGTATACAAATGCTACATACTTTAAAGGCTAATAGTATATGTAAACAAACTAGCAGAGTTTTTTTTTTTAACATTTTGGGATTTTTCTACATTTAATCTTATAAACCCTTAAAAATCTTAAAATGAGGAAAAGTTGACTTACACCATGCTGATTCTCACCAGCTCAATTCTCACTTGAGAAGCAAACATGGTACCTTTTAATGATGGGACAGAGGTTCCAGCTTGGCACCTAGAGAAACAACATTTACTATGCATTTTTGGATGTTTTTTTTTATAAGGAAAAGGGTGATTAGGGCATATAAAAGGTTTGTAGACAGAGAATATATTCAAAATTAGGAAATAGTTAGCATGATAAAAAGAGGCAATCTTAGTAATTACTAATAGTAAACTAGTATTGTTTAGAACATAATTTAAAAACCAAACTTTAAGTTGTTACTTAGAAAGAGAGATTACATACAATGTCTGCAGCCTAAAGAGTTGTTCAAGTCGAAGTCATTTCTAATTAGATTAAGATATTCAGTGGTGTACCACACAATTCTGTAATTGCAGCAATTTTATTTGTTTTATTTATCAATGATCTTCCAATAAAACTTCTAAATGTTACTAAATTATATGCTGATGATACAAAAATTCTTTTACAATTATCCTCAGAACTAAGATCTACAAACTTCAAACTGATTCAAATAATGCCTATAAATGGTCTCAAACTTGGTTTCTGCTATTCAATATTAAAATCATAGAATATGGCTATAACAACAAGAGCATCTCATATTATATAAATGGTATGTCGTTGACTGAGTCAGATACAGAAAGAGATCTAGAAGTGTTTTTTAGTACAAATCTAAATTTAAAAAAATCAAGTTATAATTTTTCCTTACAAAGCAAGTCAATTGTTCGGTTGCATCAAGAAATATTTTGCTCATTTATATCATAAGTTACTTTGATCGGTTTATTTAACTTTTGTTTGGCCATTATTAGAGTTTGCAGTTTCAGTTTTGGTCTCCATTTCTCAAATCTGATTGTGACAATACCAAAAAAATCCAGCGCAAACTAAATTGATATCATCAATCAGAAAAAAACTTTGGTTGTTATAGTGATAACATACAAATTAGTTTTTACTACTAATAGTAATAAATTTAGTAACTACTAATTTAGTTTACTGTTAATAATTTAAAATATTGATTTAAAACCTTAAAATATTAGTTGAACAATTATATGGTTTTTTATCTTTCTTTACCTGAATTATTAACTTAAAATTATTAATTCTTTTAAATATTTAGTTTATTTTATTCTTTCTTATAAAATTTGTGTTTATATATTCTTTTTTTCTCAATTTTATATTTTTTATTTTCTTTTTTTTTTGTTTATTAACAAAATAACTTAATATTGATTATTATAATGAAATAAATTTTTATCTTTTAAAATTTTAATGTGAGATAAAAGGTTTTTAATTTTTCTTTAAGGATTGAGGTTTTTACGTGCCATAAATTTAACTAGAATTGATGAAATTTTACAATTTCTTAATGTTCTTAAATCTGGGTGTGTATTTTTTATTTTTTTTATGATCACTGTAAGAATGTTTTTTTTTCAAATCTGTTTTAAAATTTTTTTAACTTTATTATAAAATATTTTAGACATTCTGTTGAAATGATGTCAATGCTAGGCAATTTTCTTACTGTCTGGTTGGTATCAGCTGGAATGGTTCATTTGGTATACTTTTTATTTTTATTGTTGATATATATATCATTATATATATATAAATATATGTATATATATATATATATATATATATATATATATATATATATATATATATATATATATATATATATATATATATATATATATATATATATATATATAATTATTTTAAATATAAAATACATATTAAAAATATAAAATATGATTTTATAAATATATATATATATATATATATATATATATATATATATAATATATATATATATACATATACCTACATATATATATATACATATGCCTCGGCGGGAAGCAAAAGCTTTAGCTCTTGCTCTTGCCCACACTCCCCTAAAACGGTTTATGAGAGCAATTTACGGCTCTCACAAAAGTATAATTTTTCTCATGAAAGTATAATAAAAACACAATCTCATTTTTTTTAAATTAAATGTATAATATACTGCAAATATAAAAGCACGGTTGTTTAAAAAAAAATTAAAATTAAAAAAGAGCGTCAATTTAAATGAAGAGCAGCTCCCACTGCTCCCGAACACTTTGTTTTAGGAGAGCTTTTCTCCGCTCTCATGCTCATTTATTTCCACCAAGGTCTGTATATATATATATATATATATATATATATATATATATATATATATATATATATATATATATATATATATATATATATATATATATATATATATATATATATATATATATATATATATATATATATATATATACACAGGAGTGTACACTCGGACTTTTGGTCAGTCGCCAGAAGGGCGACTGAAACTAACCAGTTTGTTAATTTTGGTCGCCCGCCGACGTTTTGAGTCGCCCGTTGCCATTTTTTAAAAAAAATTTCCACTTAGCGAAGTTCTCGCATGTTTTAGTCATTTTTTGTTATATGGCTAAATGTACACTTGAAACAATATGCGCAAATAAAAGTAATATCGAAAAATTTTCTTCTTTCAAAAAAAAAAATACATGCCATTATATTTTTAAACTTTATTTGAGCGCTCATTTTATAAAAAAATAGACATTCGATTACAACAAAAAACTGTTGACAAATATAAAAAACAATGTACAAATACTTTAAAACCCTTTGCTTTTAATGTGTTGTTATTATTACGATCTTATTGTTACAAGAAAAACTATTTATATTTTGAAAGGTAAAAAACATTTAAGATTCAAAAATTATATATCGTCATCAATTGTTACAGCTCTATCACTATCATCATCGCTACTAGAAAAAATCTGTATTTTCTTTGACTTTTTAACTGACACAACTGGAGTTTTGTTGTCCATGTAAAGTTTTATTGATTGATGCTAGTTTTATTTTTTCGTGATGGATTTAAAAGCCAGTGTTTAATGGCTTTGTTGGATCGTATAATTCCATTTCTGGACCATCAATCTTGATGCGCAATCGCATTGTTAATAACTTGTTACTGACTCGTGTTCTTTGAATTGATTTAATTTTTTTTATTGCGCTAAAGGCTTTTTCCGCGTCTGCCGAACTTAAGCTATGGCAAAATAAAAAATCAATCAGAGAAAAAAGATTAGCGAATCTTTCTGGTTTGATATTAGTCGCTACTTGTGACCAAGATAGCGGTGGAAATGATTTTGAACTTGCACTTGTCCAAGTTGCCATTATTTTCTTCAATATTATCCACTCTGATAAAATATTTCCAACATCTACTCGTTTATATTCGAGTTGTTGCAAAGCATATGGTCGTTAATAAGGGCTTTTATGTTATTGTCTAGCATGTTTTTATGTAACTTTTTGTTGTTTTCAGCCGTGAAAAAGTCGCTCTCCGTCCATTCAACTGTGTTAAGCAACTCGTCTGCCTCCGCAAAGACATCTGATACATTTGAAAATCGTTTCAAAATGCACTTTTGCATGGATGTAGCACTTCATGCAAATTTACAATCCCATATATCGAGCGCTTCTTCCAGTAAAAACCTCTGGATTTTCTTCGAATCTTTCTAAATTGCAAAAGGCATGCTCGAGCGAAGACTTAACTTCATACGTTGAAACATTTTTTTTTTTGTGCTAACATAATAAAAACATAAACAATATTATTATTGATATATTCTTAAATTTCCAAGTAAACAATTTATTATTTGTTACATTAACGTTTTAATTTGAAAAGCAATAGTGTATTTTTATTAAATACTATATAGTTAAGTTATATGTGTAATTAAAAATTTGAATTTAGTAGTTAATTCAATATATAATTTACAGCGACAAATTATATATTTTATCAATATACAAATAATAACAATTTTTATATTTTATTTTAAAAAATTAAATTTTAATCAATAAACGTTTAGGAAATAATAATATATAAAAAGTTTCTAATTCTGAAAAAACTCTGAAAAAAAAAAAGTATGAGAGCAACAAAATATAATTATAAAATTCGAATGAATTTGTTCTTTTAAGAAAATTTTAATAGACTTTTAATTAAATAGTTCAAAAAAGAGCGCGACAAAATCAATTTATAACGAAGTTTTTTATTTTTTGTAAACATTTTACTTTGATTATTTAATGTTAATTATTGCAAAGTTTATACTTCTAAAAGGTTTAATAACAATAATATTAGTATATATTACAATAAACTCACATATTACCTAATTGTATACACTTTTTTTGTTGTTTATTTATAAAGCTTATAACTTTTGTTTGTGGTGAATTAATACTCTGAAAATACCTTACTAATGCCTCTGAAATAATTGTCATTGCTCTACACACATCAAGAATATAGATCGCCGTCATTAGTCATTTCTTTAAATTTTTTTTTTTTTTCAGTATATGTAGTATTATATATATCTCTAAGTTTTAATACATATCTCTAAAATTTAATTAAAAAAAAAGAATGTTTAAACGATAAAACCTTTTTGTTTTTATTTTACTTGTATTTTCTAATTAACAATAGAAAATGCGGAAAACAAACTTTAGCATTATGACTTTTAAAATAGAGTTTTATTATTATTTTAGTTACTTATTGCATTAGTTTCTTTGCATATTTTAAATCTCTTAAATTACACACACAAAAAATAGAACTGCCGATAAAAATCAATAGTCGCCATTCGGGCGACTTGATTGCATAAAAAAAATATTTTTAGTCGCCCTTCACAATATTCGGTCACCTGGTGCCATCGGGCGACCACGAGTGTACATCCCTGATATATATATATATATATATATATATATATATATATATATATATATATATATATATATATATATATATATATATATATATATATATATATATATATATATATATATATATATATATGTATATATCATACATATATATATACATATATCATACATATATATATACATATATCATACATATATCATATATATATATATATATATATATATATATATATATATATATATATATATATATATATATATATATATATATATATATATATATATATCATAGATATATAAATACAATATCATACATATATCATACATATATATCATACATATATATATATATATATATATATATATATATATATATATATATATATATATATATATATGTATATATCATACATATATAAATACAATATCATACATATATCATAGATATATATCATACATATATATATATATATATATATATATATATATATATATATATATATATATATATATATATATATATATATATATATATATATATATATATATATATATATATATATATATATATATATATACTCTTGCATGGTAGCTAAAAAGAGTTTCCCATAAACTGTAGTTTTAAAGAGCGCGTTAATAAACCAGACCAGAAAAAGTTTAAAAACTTAAATTATTTTTTTTTTTTAAATGATAGACTGCCTGCCCAAACCAAACCCTCAGTCGATGTAGCAGCACTCCTTTGCGAGCCAGGCTATTTGTCAGTCGTTGTAGCAGCACTCCCTTGCGAGTCAGGCTATTTGTCAGTCGATGTAGCAGCACTCCGTTGCGAGTCAGGCTATTTGTCAGTCGATGTAGCAGCACTCCGTTGCGAGTCAGGCTATATGATAGTCGATGTAGCAACATTTACGCATGTTTTAAAAATGTTTTTTAATAAAACAAAAACAAAAACACTACTAATTAAAAAAAACTTTCTAGTCGTTATTATTGCGCTTTTTTAAAAAATTTTTAAAAAACAATAAAATTTAATGTACTTCCGCATTAATTTAATTGCTTTGACATTTCGACGACAATCAAATACAGTTTAAGAGACGAGGTAATTAAAATTGTAGTCGAAAGAGACTTTTTTTACATTAAAACGCTCTTTCGACTACACTATAAGGATATATATATATATATATATATATATATATATATATATATATATATATATATATATATATATCATAGATATAAATTACTGAATACAGCATAGGCAGAAATAGTTGAAGCCGGGCAATCTTTGCCTTGATGACATATGGTGAGGCAGAAAATACGCCTAATCAGTGTATATTATGAACAATGTTTATAATTTAATTTCAAGTTATATTTTGTATTGTATAGTTCATAAAACAATAACTTGGAAGAATTAGAATTCATTTATAGTTTATATATATTTTATTTACAGATGAACTTAATAAAATAAATCTTAGCTGACTCAAAATTATAAGATTTTGAAAATCCAAAAAAAAAAAAAAGCTTATCAAATACTGCAATGTAAATAATAATTTGATTATAATATACCACAAATTACCTAATGAACTTGTATAATGTTGTATAATGCAAGATTTATATGGAGCTTTGAGACTAACATTGAATATAAAATTATACATCTATATTTATGTATATTATATTTATCTATAATATACATATATATTTATGTACAATATATTTAAAGATTTAGTACTTGTTTTAAAATGGTTAATTCGTGCTGTGTTTTTGGGTGTACAGCTAGATCTGCTAAAGGGGTCCAGAAGTTTTTTTATAGGTAAGAATTTAGTATCTATATAATAAAAACATTTTGTTT